AATGGAGACTGGGGTTCTCGTGGTACATTAGATCTTTGGGGCTGTTTCCTTGAGTCTTTGAGTCATCTTCCTGGTGGTGTCCCAGAGGGAGAGGAGAATGTAGTGAGTGCCCCTGTGGTTCATTGGGCCATCTCTTCTCTGCAAGGACACAGTATACTGGTTAAGAATGTACACGCCTGCTTGAGCCAGTTGGCCTAAGATAGAAGCAGGAATCTGTCATCACTAACTGTATGAGCTTGAGCTAGTCATTTAGCCTCTCTGTGTCTTATCTGTAAAATGAGGATTGCATTGCCCCTCTCTAAAAGTGCTTGTGGAGATGCTAATATATGTTAATCATTTGGGAGAAGAGTCCCTGGCAGAGAGTAAACACACATTAAATGTTTGCTATTATTCTCTGGAAGGAGGTGAGTGTTTTAGTCTCACTTCTCTAGAGAAACAAAACCAGTGAAACTTGTATATATATGATTTGGTGTTGTTCCAACTCCTAGTGACCCTGAATAGGGTTTCCAAGGAGCAGCTGGTGAGTTTGAACTGCTGACAGTGTGGTTCAAACCCACTGTAGTCCAGTGCTTTATTCCACAGCGCCACACTGTTGTTGTTATTAGCAAGCGTCGTTGAGTTAGTTCCAACTCCTAGCAACCCTGTACAGGGTTTTCAAGGAGCAGCTGGTGAGTTTGAACCGCCAACCTTGTGGTTCAGACCATCCTGGTGGTCCAATGCTTTATTCCACAGCGCCACACCAGAACTCCTATATATGTATACATCAAGGAAATGGCTCACGCAGTTGTGAAAGTGGGAGAGTCCCAAGTCCAAATGAGATCGGCAGGTGAGATGGCAGGCAGGCTAGCTGGCTGGCTGGCTGGCTGGCTGGCTGGCTGGCAGGCAGGAGGCAGGCAGGCAGTAGAGCAAGTCACTGGCTCACGTCCAAAGAACTGGAAGTTGGAAGATGAGCCAGATGTACGATCCAGACCCAGCAGAGAGCAAACAAGCTTTGCCTGAGTGTCTAATATATTGGAAGCAGTCCACACCTCGAGGAAATACCCTTTCAATTGATTTTACTGCTCATAGCAGAACTCATCATAGAGTTAATTACATTGTATTAGATCTCATTATGGGAATAAATACATCTCAACTGCCAAGCACTGAGGATCCTGGCCCAGTCAAGGTGACACAAAACCTTAACTGTCATAGTGGGAATGGACACAATGACCTTTGGACTGTTGCCTCCATCCCTGGCTGTTTTCATGAATTCCCCTCTACTTTTGGGTGGCTGCTGATGTCTGTGTCTAGTTTAAAACTGATGTCTTTTTTGTTAGAAGGGGTGGTTTGCAAAGTATGTGGTCCCAGCACATAACAGGCATTCTCTCCTCTGCCATCCACTCAATTCCAACTCATATTCGATGCTATAGGATGCAGTAGAATTGCTCCTTCGGGCTTCCAAGACTAAATCTTCACTGGAGGAGACAGCCTCACCTTTCTTCCTTGGATCAGCTGGTGGGTTTGAACTACCAACCTTATAGTTAGCAGCCTAGCACTTAACCCACTATGCCACCAGGATTCCTTATAATAAGTAGGCACTAGTAAGAGGAAATGGTCAGTATTGTATTATGCTTAATAAATGTTTCTCAAACCAGGATCTTTTATTTTGGGTCAGCAGAGTCTTGTCTGAAGTGTACTATAGGATAACCACTGTTAGGTCAGTTGTTCACACCCACCAGCTGCTCTCAGAAACCCTATTCAGGGTCACAGTGAGTTGGAATGGACTCCACAGCACTTAACAACAAGAAGCATAGGGCAGTTACTTAGATAATAACTAGTCTATATAAAATTTGTAATAAATTACATTGATATATAATTCTAAATTATGCTACCTTGTTTGGAGTTTATTTATCTGCATTAATTCATTCATCTTTCTTTTCACAAACACATATTTGTGCTTATGGTGGGCTGGGGTAAGTGAGGACCTGGCAGATCTAGGAGGGGGGATGTCACTAAAGAAACCTATTTCTGAAAAACCAATTTCATGGGCAGAGGACACTGGAGTGGGCTCTGAGAGCCTCAGACATTTGTCCTAGCCTTGCTTCTAACTGGTCAAATGAGACTGGGTGGGTCCCTTTTCTCCGCAATGACCCATGTCACATTTTGATGAGCCATCCCAGGAAATGAGGGTGAAGGAGGGAGCCCTCATGGCGGGGATACTGTTCAGGGCCCTCCCTGTAGCTTTGACTCCCATCCTTTAGTTCCCCCCACACACCCCCACCCCCGCCAGCATCAAAAGTCCTCTCAGAAAATCATGCACTTTGATTCTCCCTACTCAGAGCCTGGAAGTGCTTAAAAATAGTCCCATATTCTAAAACTAAGGGCTTTTAGAAATCAACTAGCTAACCCCCGCTCAGGGGACCCAGAGAGGGGGATTGACTTGTCCAGGGACACACAGCAAAGTGGTTCTGAGCTCTGGCCTTGTCCCCTTTCTCAGCCCCCCTCCACCCAGCCCCACCTTCTGGGTCTCTTGAGCCAAGAGTGAAATGCATTCTCCTTCTCCGGCAGGGAGGGGGAGGCACTTCCTGAGCCTGGGAACCAGCTGATGTCATTGCTCAGTTGCCATGGCAATTATTCCCTGGATTAGGAGTCTGACCCTTGTGAAGCTGGAACAGAGGAAGGAGTAGGGACTGGCATTGACCCAGCACTTGAGTGTTGATGAAACACTTTCATACATTGCCCTTAGCGGTGTTTACTGAGCTCCCCCCCCCCCCCAACCACACACACACTCTCTCTCTCTCTCTCTCTCTGCGTGCCGCAGTGCACCTGACTATAATCTGCACCAGGGCTTGAAATGACTGGTATTAAGGTCTCCATTGTACAGATGTAGAACCTGAGGCTCATGAGGTTAAGTCACTGCTCAGGATTCTTCAGCAAATGGGAACGTGAGCCTGAGTGTGGGCACTGTCTGGCTCTATGCCCACACTTGGTGATAGCAGCGCTCCCCATACTGTAACAGATTCCTGTGACAACCTCCGTACACATGAGGAACCTGAAGCCAGAGGCCTTGGGTTCAGGGCTTTCTCATCTGTTTTCCTACCCTTTCCTGGACCCCCAGACCCCCGCTAAGAGTCACTGTGCTGGTCCAGGGCTTCTTGGGCAAGTTCTCGGCCCTGGGTAGGTCGGTGCCTGTATTAAATTCTAGTGAGAAACAGCACATTCAGGCCTTTCAGGTCCCACAAATCCGCCATCCTCTTCTGGCACCTTTTAGGAAGAAGATTCCTACAGATGGGTGAGCTGGAGCCCGGGGTGAGGGGTCGGGGTTTGTGCAGAGGAACTGACAGGTGTGGCCTGGGCTGCATATGTTGGGGTCTGGCACAGCTCTGTGCCTGGGAGCCTCTGGGGCTCCTCATCCTGGAAACTTCCAAGGTCCTGGGCCTCATGTCCTGGGCTGACCTGCATTCCAGAACAGTACAGCCTCCATGGAGGAAATTCAGGCAGCTGGTGGGGTCTGGAACAGCTGGCTGCAGAGGTGGACAGCGAAGTGTCTGGAAGCCCTGACCTATGGGGCCTCTATTCTGCTCTTCAAAACCTCAGGGGAGGACAAGCTATCCCTTCCATTTTAATTCCTCTAGTGTCAGGGAGTCCTGGTGTGGCTCTGTGGGTTAATGTGCCAGACTGCAGAGCCATTTGAACCTCAAGTCGGTGGTTCAAGCTCACCGGCTGCTCCTCGGAAACCCTATACAGGGTGGCTATCGGTCGGAACCGACTCGACAGCACTTAACAACAAGTGTCAGGGAAGTCCTTTCTGATGTCTGTCTTGAGACCTAGTACTTGGATTTTCCATGATATTCTCAGAAGAAGAGGGCAGTGGATGGAGTAGTTGGTTCTTCCCTGAAGCTTGGATCCTGTTCTGAAGTGCTCTCTGCCCCCAACCAGCTTCCTCCCTTCTGTGGTGGTGGCCTCAGAAGCTGCCTGGCAGGCTCCAGGAAGCCGCCAGGGCCTGTCAAAGGCTCATTGATTGAGCCTTCCCTGTGGCTAGCTGTCTCAGTGCCCTCCTTCCTGGATGCCAACTTTGTCCCTTGACACAGCCTTCACTCAGCTGGCTTCTCAAATACTCCCCTGGGCTCCCAGTTGGGTGGGGACCCATCCTGGAGAGGGTGAGGGCTGGGCAGTTCTAGGATCTCTGGATCGAGCCTTCCGGTAGCTTTCAGGCAGGGTGGGCCCCTGGTGCAGGCCAGAATCAAGCTGAAGAGGATTTGCATCCTGTTGCCTCGCTGCATTTGCTTTCTCAGCTGTATGATCTTGGATAGGAGACTTTGCACCTCTGTCTCTCAATTTCTTACCTGTAAAATGGGGCTAATGATAATGTAAGTTGTTACTGTGAAGTACCCTTATTGTTAGGTACCCTTGAGTCTGTTGTGACTCTTAGCAACCCTATATAGGGTTTCTGAGACTGAAAATCTTTACAGAAGCAGAAAGCCTCATCGTTTTCCGCACATAGTGATTGGTGGGTTTGAATTGTTGATCTTGTGATTAGTACTCCAGTGTTTACCCTTCAGTAACACCAGTGCTTCTTAATGATAGTCGTTGTTCACTGCTGCTAAATCAGTTCCAACTCTTAGTGACCCAGTATGGCTTTACAAGGAGTGACTGGTGGGTTTGAACTGTCGACTCATAGTGGCCCTGTATAGGGTTTCTGAGGAGCAGCTGGTGAGCTTGAACCACCGACCTGCAGTTCAAATGTCTTTGCAGTCCGGTGCATTAACCCACAGTGCCACACCAGGACTCTGCCAATAAATACTAGCAAGCTATTATTATTAATCTAGTGCTTTTTGGCTAAGGGTTTTGCTTTAAGTTGGGGGATCAATATTACTACAGAGGGGGTTTCTGGTCAGGATCTTGTTCCTGGCTCTCTGCCTCCATTTCTTGGTTGATTGCCGCCTTTGAAGTAGCCATGGGCTGAGACCCTTCCTGCGCCTCCTGACCTGACCCTAATCCGTTTTGCCTCGGTTTTCCAGGTGCGCTACAAGGAAGAATTTGAGAGGAACAAGGGCAAAGGCTTCAGCGTGGTGGCAGATACACCCGAACTCCAGAGATTCAAGAAGACCCAGGACCAGATCAGTAATGTAAGCTCCTTGCCCCTAAGGTGCCACACTCTTCCCCTCTCTGCTTCCTGCCAGCCTGCAGATATGAATGGAGCCAGTTGTCTCTGAAGTCCCTACCCTCTTGGGCTGGCCTTGGCTGGCCGTTGCTTGGGCAGAGGGAAAAGGAAGGGTTTGAGGTTTCCAGACACATTTTCTCTGTGAGCCCCCAGACTGCCTCTCAATGCGTACCCCAGCCCACAGAGTATGTTCCCCTTAAAGGTATTGGGTTTGGGCACGGGTGGGCAGGGGCCCTGTTGCAAAGGTGCCCCCGACTCTCTAGGTAGCTGCGCTTGTTCCCCTGAGTATGGGGGTGTCTGGGTGCAGCCTGGATGTTTCATCTCAGTATAAAGGTCAAAACTGAGTGTGGGGGTGGGAGGGGCCAGCCTCCTCCTCTGCTCTGGGTGCTGACTTTGCAGTCATTTCCGCCCTCCCTCAGCCTCCTCCCCCACTTTGGCTTGTTCTTCCTTCCTGTGTAAAAACCCCAGCCTGCGTCGCCCGCTGTCCCTCACCCTCTGGCCTGGGTCCTTCTGGATCTGGAATGGTCAGCAGTGGCGAGTGGGCCTTGTGTTCACAGTCCTCAGCATTATGTAGCCCCCATGACATCTGTGACCAGAGAACAGGCCTTGGTTTCCTGCTTGGCAGAGCCACAGACCAGCAGCTTGTGTGGCCCGGGGCTTGTTAGGGACATGATGCTGCTATAAGCAGGGAACAGAGAGCAGTGTCCTATGCACAAGGCCTGGGGGGCAAGTGGCAGGGTGTGCTCAGTCAGCCTGGGCTGGGAGGCCCTCCACGCCGAAGGAGTGGGCAAGTAGTTATCTTCACATCTGTAATAGAAGGGGAGTTGGCAGCATCACTGTAGGCTAGGAGGCTGGGGGTGAAGGCTGGGAGACAGCCTCTGTCTTCACCTAGTCCCCAGAAATCACCTTTGAGCACCACATTCCTTTCTGCCCCTCCACCAAGCCTCCTAGGTAAGGCATTCTTCCTAGAGGGGGGCTGGACAGTGCTAACAGTGGACTTCAAGCAGTGGGTTGGATGGCTTTTTGAAGCTGAGAGTAGCCAGGCAAACAGCAGACCAGCCATGCCTACCACTGTGACTTTGAAACATTTTGACTGCAACCTACAGTAAGAAATACATTTTACATTGTGATTTGCCAAACAAGCAAGCATTCATTTAGAGAGAAAACCAAATCAGAATTTCATGGAAGAACATGGAGGATGTTCGGATACTTGTATTTTCTGTTTTCTTTTTAAGGATGCCAGTTGCAGAGATGCTAGATGAGTTTCACAACCCAGTGGGTTGTTGGCCTGCAGTTTGAAATAAGTGGCTTGAGGAAGTGGATTACTTCCCTTGGGCTAGAAAGGTGTACTTCAGGGACTCCCCACAAAAGCCTGTCAGGGTTGCCTCTTTTTAAATTAGGGCCTGGCTTGCACCCTAGAGCCTCTTTTACCAGAGTAAACAAGGTCAGAGTCTTAGAGCTATCAGCACAGAGGGTGGGGTGGTGTGTGTGGGGGGGCAATTGTTGCTAGATTCCCACTCATGGTCACACATTGTGTGCAGGGCATTTTCAAGGCTCTGACTTTTTGGCAGTTGATGGACAGGTCTCTGGGTGGATTTGAATTGTCTACCCTTTGGTTAGTAGTCGTCACCTAGGAACTTCTAAGGTGAGGGGAGCATGGATAACGGAAAAAACTGGGAATGACTCACACAACTGGAATCTGGACTTGTCGGGCCGTGACTTTGCCTTGTGAAGACTGTGTTTTCTTGTTAACATTTCCCACTGTCTGCAGGTCTCCAACCTCCACCCTCCAACACACTCATTCATGCTTTCCAGCATGTGGGTTTGAAAACCCAGGCTTGGAGGGTGGGGAGTTGTACTGACAAGAAAGCCTAGTCATCTCTGCTTCCCTTTCTGGAAAGCTTCCAGAAAACTCCATACTCAGCCTATTCCACCTGCTCTTCTTCCTTCTACCCTTTAGTTGTTGGAGGCGTTAATGTCTGAGAGCCTTTACCACAGGGCTGCCTTCTCTAGTTGGCCTCTGCTCTGTGGTGGGGAGTAGGAACTGCTTTGCAGCTTTAGCTGGGCCCTGTGAGGCTGCAAGACTTGCTTTTTGTGAGTACAATTGTTGTTGTTGTTAAGTGCTGTCGAGTTGGTTCCAACCCTGTATAGGGTTTCTGAGGAGTGGCTGGTGAGCTTGAACCACTGTTGAATGCAATTGTTGTTGTTGTGAAGTGCCATAGAGTTGGTTTCGACCCACAGTGACCCTGTATAGGGTTTCCAAGGACCAGCTGGGGAGTTTGAACTGTCGACCTTGCAGTTCAAACAGCTTTGCTGTCTGACACATTAACCTACAGCGCCACACCAGGATTCCGGTGAATGTAATTAGAGTCTCTTAAATGTGGGCCTGCAAACAACTCGATCAGAATCACTTGGAGAGTTTATTGAAAATGTGGAGCTCAGCAACCAGCATTTAAAACCCACTACCTGGTTTACCTCATTGAACATGGAATGAGGGATATCACTGCTGACGTCAGATGGGTCCTGGCTGAAAGCAGAGACTATCAGAAAGATGTTTACTTGTGTTTTATTGACTATGCAAAGGCATTCGACTGTGTGGATCATAACAAAGTGTGGATACCATTGCAAAGAATGGGAATTCCAGAACACTTAATTGTGCTTATGAGGAACCTGTACATGTACCAAAAAGCAGTTGTTAACAACAGAACAAAGGGATATTGAATAATTTAAAATCAGAAACGGTGTGTGTCAAGGTTATATCCTTTCACCATACTTACTCAATCTGTATTGTTATTTAGTGCTGTTGACTCATAGTCACCCTGCATAGGATTTCTGAGGAGCAGCTGGTTAGCAGTCCAGTGCTTATCCTATAGCACTACACAGGACTCCTTCAGTCTGTATGTCGAACAAATAACTTGAGAAGCTGTATTATATGAAGAAGATGGAGGAAGACTTACCAACAACCTGTGATAAGCAGATGACACAGCCTTGCTTGCTGTAACCAAAGACGACTTGAAGTATACTTACTGATGAAGACCAAAGACTACAGCTTTCAATATGGGGTATACCTCAATGTAAAGAAAATGAAAGTCCTCCCAATTGGAACAGTAAATAACATAGTGGCAAACTGAGAAAATACTGAAGTTATCCAAGATTTCATTTTACTTGGCTCCACAATCAGCACTCATGGAAGCAGCAGTCAAGAAATCAAACAATATATATAGTGCATTGGGCACATCTATTGCAAAAGACCTTTGGGGTGTTAGAGAGTAAAGATAGCACTTGGAGAACTAAGGTGCACCTGACCTAAGCTATGGGATTTTCGATCGCCCATATGCATGTGAAAGCTGGACAAGGAAGAAGAATGGATAGAGAAGAATTTATAACATTTGAATTGAATACACCATGGACTGCCAGAAGAACAAACAAATCTGTTTTGGAAGAAGTATGACCAGATTATTCCTTGAAAGTGATGATGATGAGACTGTCTCCTACACTTTGGACATGTTGTTAGGAAGGACCAGTCTCTGGAAAAGGACATCATGCTTGATAAAGTAGAAGGCCAGCAATAAAGAGGAAGACCCTCACTGAGATGAATTGACATTGTGGCAACAGGAATGTTAAGTGCTGTCAAGTCAGTTCTGAATCTTAGTGACCCTGTATAGGACTTCTGAGGAGGAGCTGGTGGGTCGGAACCACCAACCTTTTAGTTAGCAGTCCAGTGTTTATCCTACAGGACCCCCGCAACAGCATTAGGCTTCAGCATAACCCTCGTGAGGATGACGTAGGCTGGATAGGGTTTCATTCTGTTGTACACAGGGCTGCTGAGTCAGCACCGTCTCGGCAGCACCTAACAACAACTTTGGATTATAGTTGGGTTCACTGAAGTCCAAAAATACTTTGACAGCCCCTCAGTCTGTAGCAGACTGAACCCTGTCCAAGAGTCCCCAGGGAATTTTAAGCCATGCTTAGAACTATTGCTGATTATCCCAGTTTCCAGAAGAGTTTTGGAAAAAATGTATTTAGAGCTACACCTTTTATCCAAAATAATGCTTTGTATCCAAAATAATGTTTCTTTATGTAGCTTGTCACTCCCTTCCCAGAATGGCATTTCATAACTGCTAGCTGTTTCCGAAGGTCAAACCATCTTGTAAAGAAATGAAGATCTGCTTCCCTGGAGGAGTATGCTGCAGACTACAGGCTTTACCAGTGAAAGCATTAAAAACAACCGAAACCCTAGTGTCTGGTCTCCCTATGTGTTTTGTGCTTTGAACGTGTGTGATTTGTTGTCAGTCCTGCTAAGACTCAAGTGAGGTGGGAAGAGACTGCAAGGACAGGAATCCCACCCTCTGGCCTCAACTGCTGGGCACATCCCCTTATCCTGTTTCCCATCTATAATAGGCCCTGTCTTCAAAGCTGGTTGCAAGGAAAATGTCAAGTGCTTGACATATGATAAATGTCATCAATATAATTATTACTTTAAGGACAAACCTGTCTGCTTTCTATAGCGTGACTAAAGAAGGGACATGTAGTAAACAAGTTTGGCTGTTGTCCAGTACATTAAACATGTGGAAAATGTGGAGGAAAGATGCTAATAAGTTATAGACATGTGTGATGAGTAATCGTGTCTTCATTAAACCTGTTGCCATCAAGTCAATGGGCTCCTTTACTTACATGGTTTTTTCATATAGGATTTTTTGTTGGTTTTCTTTTTTGTGTGTGTTTTAAACTTTCTTTTGTGAAATGCAGCACAGTTATAGCAAACACCAATGACATTACTAGACTCCTGTCGAATAGTGTTTTCAGGGAAACTAGAGTCTAGGTAAAACCTAGAAGATATTGTGGGTTCATACAACAGAGATATGGGAGACCAAATGAAACAGACACAGATAAAAATTATGGAAGCCTAAACTTTAGAGAAAAGGTTAGAAAAGTGGACTGAGAACTTGCTGGAAGAAGCCGAGC